AGGTAATGAGCCACTCACGCTGGGGGTGCCGATCAGCACGGCACAGCAGAGGAGCGACGGGGAGAGATGGAGAGAGGGAATGAAAGAGATATATAGATAGATGGAGGGAAGGAAATGGCACCCAACCCCCACGCTGTCAAAAAACTAGGGGTCCAGGAGCTGCAGGACTGGATGTTCGCTCAGCATTGGCTCTTATTTGTCAGAGCCAGACAAGCCTCCAGAAAGAGATGCAGACGCAGCACTGAGATTGGGGGTGGGGGTTGGGGTTGGTGGGGGACGGCCGCTGGCAGCGTTATGAAGTCCTTTGAGGAACGATGACAAGCCAATATTAATAGCTCATTACGAGATCCTAGGAAGAGCAGGTACTGCTGCCATCGCGCTGGCCTTAGGTTTCCCTTCACAGTTTTCCTCGTGGTTTTGTTTTATTTTAAGAATGAGCAGACGACCGGCCTGCCTGGCAGGGTGAGTTGTGAAAACGTTACACCCCTGTCAGCTGATTGTCAATCCCGCCTGGGCGTCTTTAACGGCCCATTATGAGTGATGCTCGTTGGGGCCATCATAAAACTGCAAATAAAATAATCACACAAAGGCTTTCTGTTACCTCAGGGCCGGCAGGTGCTCAAACACACTCTGGACTCACTAACAGCTGAGAACCCTCTTCTGCATAAGTATGTTTTCAGTGTGAAAATTACACGGTTCTGTTACCTGTAAATATTTAAATGATTTGTTGTGGGTATTGCCCGAAAATATATAAATAAAGAAACCATATATTTTCTTCAGGCTCCAGTGTGATAGAACACTAAAGCACCGGCACTTTCCGTGGTGCCTGTGTTTTTTTCCCCTGGAACGCCACATGGCAAAATCGGATTCTCAGATGTCCCTGAGAGCGGAGGAAGCAGATTCTGTTTCTGCCAAGAAGAAGTGTATAGCTGGGATCAAAGTGACTTCAGTCGTCCACCAGAGAAGGAGGCGTCTTATCCGGGGGGGGGTTACTGATTATTAAATAGAAGGTGGGGCTCTAATCTTGCTCCCTGCTCATATTAGATCATTCAGGGCCTCCTGGTCACCTGCTATAGCCTCAGTGACGGAGAACATGGCCTGACCCTGCAGTCCCATCGCATTGACGACGGCGAGTGGCACGATGTGCAGCTGGATCGCCACGACAACGAGTTCACACTGCGGCTAGATGGGGGTGGTGGCCGGCGGGAGGTCACCGCTCTACTGGGCCAGAACTGGGAGGACGCTGGTGACCCCATGGCTGTGCTGGTGGGGAACAAGAGCTTTCTGGGTATGTCCAGAGCAAGGAATACTGGGAAATGGGCAGAGAGGAAGGGGGCCGCTTTACAAAAACAACCAACGATTAAAGATTTAATGCATTTCTAATCCTGCCTCAACATGGCAGAGTATTTTTGTGACATTGTTATAAATTATTAAAATGAGAAAATTAATGAATAATAGAGACACACCTTAGCATGAGCTGTGCTGTAGCTACTAGGAAAGCTGGTGACAGCTGTGATGTTTGCATGGAGAGGAGAGGAGACCCGGAGGGTTTCAGGAGGAAACGTCACAAGCAGGAGCGATTGCAATGGAGATGGCATCACTGCGGAGACCAGCATGACCAGGGAGACAGCATGACCAGAGAGACAGCATGACCAGGGAGACAGCA